TCTGCATTGGCAGGCAGATTCTCAACCACTGCGCCACCAGGGAAGCCCGATTGTACATTTTAGATTTTAATATATATTGCCACATGATCCTTCAAAAAAGGCAATTTATTTTTTCTGTTCCCTTCATCCAAAGGTGAAGTCTATTTCCCCACTCCTTGCATTGGGTTGCCCTAGGCCTTAAGAGCTATTGTATCAATAGCTTACTTTCTCACTCTCTTGGAATGCTGCTGCCAAGTGAATAAACCCAGTCTATCTTACTGGAGGGTGAGAAACAATGTGAAGTAGAGATAAATACTCCAGATTAGGTTCCCTAGACCAGGGTTGGCAAACATTTTCTGTAAAGGACCATATAGTACGTATTTTTAGATTTGCATGCTATATGGTCTCTGTTGCAACTATTCAACTCTGCTGTTGTATTGTGAAAGCAGCCATAAAACAATATATGAATACTAAGGTGGGAAAAGACTTGGCCCACCTGCAGCTCTTTGCTGATCCTTAACCTAAACCAACCAGCCTGCCAACTGCCAGGCATGTGAGTAAGGTCATCCTAGACCATCCAAACCCCAGCACAACCTCCAGCAAATTGCAGACATCAGCTGAACCAGCCCAGACCAGAATACCTGTCCAGCACAGAACTGTAATAATGTCTGATGTTTAAAACCATTAAGTAGCCCCTGGCTAGCTCAGTTGGTAGAGCATGAGACTCTTAAAACCATTTTTAGGGTGGTTTGTTACACAGCAAAAGCTAACCAACACACTAACCAACACACTTTGCCATTATTGGATACTATTAATATTTTTATTAATCTGATATATTAAAAATGATATATTATAGTTATTTTACTATGCTTTTCTATGGTTATGAATGCATTTGAGCATTTTTTCATATATGTTCATTGATCAACTATATATGCTCTTTTATGAATTTTCTTCATATCCAGTGCTCATTTTAACACTGAATTATTTTCTTGTTGATTTGTCATTTTCTGAGAATATATCTTGGATTTTAACACTTTGTCTGCTATATTTATTGAAAATATTTTTTCTCCCTGTTTGTTGTCTATTATTGTAGCATCTTTTTTTTTTTTTTTTTTTTTTTAGGTACGGGGGCTTCTCACTGTTGTGGCCTCTCCCGTTGAGGAGCACAGGCTCCGGACGTGTTGGCTCAGTGGCCATGGTTCACGGGCCCAGCCGCTCTGTGGCATGCGGGATCTTCCCGGACTGGGGCACAAACCCGTGTCCCCTGCATCGGCAGGCGGACTCTCAACCACTGCGCCACCAGGGAAGCCCTGTAGCATCTTTTATTATATTGAAGTTTGAAATTTTTATATAATCAAATTTAGCAAATATTTCCTTTATGGTTTTGGAGTTTTGTGTCTTCAGAAGGCCCTCCTTATTCTAAGCTTATAAAAGCATTCTCCTATATTCTTCTAACACTTCTATAGCTGATTTCATTGGTTTTTAATAATTGTTCTGTTTATTATCCATATAAGATTTATTTTATATGTGATGTCATCTTAATTTTTTTCCAAGGGGAAAACATAATTACTAGCTATCCTCGCACACTTTGTTTTCCAGATAAATTTCAAAATCATATGCATTTCCATATAAAAATCTCTTGGCATTTTAGTTGTTATTTCTATTTGTTTCCTATTTTCTCAGAATGTCTTCAAATTTTCTGGTCTGTCAATGGCACTATTTCTGGATTTTCAGTCCTATTTGGAGTTTATATTTTTATTTTTTTAATTAATGTCTTCTGTTTTGTGGGACCTGGAAAAGGAGGGAAAGTAGTCATAGGTACATTCAGATCCAGCTCTTCCACCAGCTATTCAATTTTGAAATTTACTTTTCAGATTCTTGAAAGAATTCAGCATTATTTCTAATAATGAAAAATATGGTGTCCTAAGTGTAAACATCACTTGAGTAGCTCTCAGTTATATAAATGTAGGCTGAGAAATAGTCATTTTTCTGAGATTAAGGTGTAGCTTTTGTGACTTAATTAAGGGAGCCATTAGAACTCTGATATATTAACTTGGTCCTTAAGCAGGAGCTGGATGAATTTACATAAGGAGGCCAGCATCTTCTGGGCTAGAAGGAACTGGTACTCCATCATTGCTCCCTGAGACATGAAGCTAGAGAGACCTGTGGATGTTGACTGCCTGGCCCTGGCCAGAACAGTAGCAGGGAAGAGCAACATGGTCTTTGAAATAATTAACTTCAGTAAAGTGGGAATCCAGGCCCTCAAGAGTTGAGTTCAGCACAATAGGTGGCTGATGCTAAAAGCAGCTCTGGTAGGAGCTATGCAACATATCAGAATTAGCAGCATTACCTGCTGAATGTGCAGTATCAATTTCCTACTACAAAGAGGCAGCAAGAAGCAAAGTTTGTAACGGACTAATTGGACACCTATACTGTCCTTGCTGAGTGTGGAAGTTGGACAGACTTCTACCAGATTAAATCCTTAGGGATTTGACAGTATGTCAGAGATATAAGCCCTAAAAGGCAGATGTTGAATATCTTATTAATCTATTTTGTGGAGTCTCTAGACAATTTCATTTTATGTAAAAAAAAATTTTTTTTTAAGGAGATGTATTTATAATTATACCACAGTTTTGAGAGCAGGCCAACCTATGTCCACCCAGAGGGAAATGAGTTTAAAAAATTTGTGGCACATCCATGCAATGGAATACTATGCACTTATTACAAAGAATGGTATAGAACTATATTAACTGAAGTAGGAGAACCCCCAAGACTTGCATTTTGTGTATATATATATAAATATATATAAAATGCTATTACTACAAAAATTATTTAGTTATATCCTTATGAATATATACAGGTCTAGAAGTAAGGTTATCAAACTTTGATGGTGATTGACTCTAGGGGGTGAGAGTTTAGATAATTTTTGCTTTCTTTTTCATATTTTCCTATATTATTTAAATTTCTTACAAATTTTCTATAATGAATATGTTTTATCTTTATGAAATAATTTTCTAAAAATGGAAACTGACCACAGAAGTCATCAGGAATAATAATAATAATAATAGCTTACTATGAGCCAGAAATTACAAGTGTTTTACACGTATTATCTGATTTACTTCTCACAGCAACCCTACGAGAGAGATTTGCATATTGAACAAAGCAAGGCTTGAATAGTTTAAGTAAATTGCCCATAATCAAAGGGTTAGAAAGTGGTGGGAGCAGGATTAAAGCCCAAATTCCCTGGCTGCAGAGCTATGGTCTCTCTGGTTTGACCCACAGACGAAATGGAGCTGTTTGTAGCTAACAGAGAAATTCACCAGCATTTTACATATAATCCACTTTCAACTTTACCAGCCTTAACTTCAAGGCCATTTTCTCTTTTTACCTTTCCAGAAGTAAGCACTAAATACTGTAAAAATAAAAAGACACTACCAATTAAAGACATAAAACTTTCTGTAGTATTCTGTTACATTGGGGGACCGAGCAAACCATGCCTTCCAGTACTAGAAGGTACCCTGGCACAGGCCTCTACTCTTGAATTTGGGCTGGCCCTTTGACTTGCTTTAACCGACAGAATATGGTGAAAGCACCAGTCCTGAGGCTAAGGCTTAAGAAGCCCTACCAACTTCCACTTTTGTCTTTTTGGGAGTCCTAATCCAACATGTAAGAGATATGGCTTCTCTGCTGAAGAATTATGTAGAAAGGTCATATGGAGAGGGAGAGAATTTGAGACAACACGAAGAGAGAGGCCCAGTCATTCCTGCGGAACCAGCCCCCAGCTGATGCTACGACCTACAGCAAGGCTAGCAGAATGGCTGGGCTAATCCCAGCCCAGATTTCACAGTGAGCAAATAACATGGTTGTTGTTTTAAGCTATACATTTGGGGTGGTGGTTAAACAACAGATAATTAAAACACCTCCTCACCTCTTCTGGAGTGACAACTGGTACACTCAGTTCTGCATAAAGCTGAAGTCTCCATCCCTATCTCTTAACTGTATTACAACAGTTTGCCAGAAGCTTTCACATTAATTGCTAGGACATAGGGAAGCTTTTTTTTTTTTTTTTTTTTTGCGGTACGCGGGCCTCTCACTGTCGTGGCCTCTCCCGTTGCGGAGCACAGGCTCCGGACGCGCAGTCTCAGCGGCCATGGCTCACGGGCCCAGCCGCTCCGCGGCATGTGGGATTCTCCCGGACCGGGGCACGAACCCGCGTCCCCTGAATCGGCAGGCGGACTCTCAACCACTGCGCCACCAGGGAAGCCCGGGAAGCTCTTTTAAAGGAAAGAGGTACTAGGTAGGGGTCCAGAGGTTCAGCCTTTGGCCCTAGTTTTTTTTTACTTATTGTATGCCTTTTGAAAGTCATTTACCTTTTGGTTTCAATTGTACAACGGGGAGACTAATATTCACACTACTTACCAGAAGAGGGTAAAAATTAGTATAACCGAGTTGAGAAGAAAAATGGAAAGCATTTAACATTGCTTCCAGCTGAAGAGGCAGGTGAGGAAATACGTGGATTTGATGTCATCTGGATGTAAGATATTGAACAAACGACTTCATATTTCTGATCCCCAGTTCTTTCTCTGTAAATGAGACTACCCTTCCTCACCTCACAGGTTTATCTGTGATGATCAAGTGAGACATCGCACGAGGAGAGACCTATTGCAGAATAAACGGTAATTGCCGCCGTGTAATCCAAAAACACCCCTCCCCCCCTTCCCCGCGCAGCCATCCTTATATTCTTCGCCCAAACCCAGAGAATGTGATTTAGTAAATCTGGAGTGGGGCACAGAAGGCTACATATTTTTTTTTAATCTACATTTTTAAAAAACAATATCCCTAGCAGATTTAAAACTAGGCGTCCTAACCCAAAGGACTCTGCTTGCTACCACGCCCCCTCCCTCTGACTGAAGGAGCCGCGAAGTCCAGATCTCGCGACAGTTTCTTCTTTCTCCAGAATCTGCTGTAGGTCGCGCGAGAATGGCTCGTCCAATCACGAGGCTGAATGGAGGCCCAAGATGGCGGCGCACTGACAGCGTAACATTTGCGTTTCTAGGATCTTCGGGCTGCTCGTGGCTTAAGACTCTGGGGTTGTAGAGGCCCACACTAGACTAGTCGTCTGGAAGCAACTTAGACCTCAGAGGTGAGTCACTTAATATCTCTCACGCGGGGTGCGAGTTCACTTAACCTGTGTATCACCTAGGTTCCACATTCTCCTGTTCTGGGCCTGTGAGGTGTTGGTTTCGGGGTCTAGGGAGAGAGACCGGATGATGTGTGTGTACATTTGCGTGCGCGTGCGGGGGTATATGTGTGTTGGGGTGGGTAGGAGGAGTTGGCAAATGGAGTGGCGACTGGTGCTGAAGTAGGAAAGACCGGCGGGGCGGAGGAGGTTTACAGAGATCCAAAACTGAGGCGGGAAGATAGTCTGAGGGGGTAATATGAAGGCGTGGAAGGAGTGGAAGAGATGGAGAGCTGGCAGTGGTCGAACTAGTGGAAAAAGTCGGATTTATGAGGGAAGGAGACGAGAGAAAACGGAGATTAGGATTGAAGTGGTAGGGATCTGTGCAGAAGGAATTTAAAGTTCTGAAAGTGGAATTTAGATTATTTTACAGACTTATGTATTAAGACACATGGTAGTTGAAGAGGATTATTAAGGGTCAGGAGAAACCAAGGAAACAGGAACGTGGAGATGGGAAAGATAAAAGAAAGTCGAAGTGGAAGCTTAAGTGAAGGTCTACTACTTTGGCTTTCTGGACAGACTCGGGTAACCGGAAGAAAAAGGTCCAGCCCTAGGCCTGAGCCTTTGAGAGACTTTAAGATGGGGACTGCTTATCAAGAATGAGGGTGCTGTGTTTCAGTGTCCTGGACAGTGTAAAGAGTTCCATCGTGCTTTCAATCAAAAAACACTTATTGCGTGCCTGCTCTCCAGGGCCTACTTTAGGCTCTGGGATATCGCAGTGAATAATAAGATAGACAAAATATTTTCCCTCATGAAGCTTACTGGCAGGGCAGATTTTAAAAAAAATACATGGAATGTCAGATGGGTAAGTTTTATGTAGAAGACTGAAGCTACTAAGTGAGACAAGGAGTGTGTTCACTCACTGCTTATTTATTTTTTTTATTTTTTATTTTTTTGCGGTATGCGGGCCTCTCACCGCTGTGGCCTCTCCCGCTGCGGAGCACAGGCTCCGGACACGCAGGCCCAGCGGCCATGGCCCACGGGCCCAGCTGCTCCGCGGCATGTGGGATCCTCCCGGACCGGGGCACGAACTCGCGTCCCCTGCATCAGCAGGCGCACTCCCAACCACTGCGCCACCAGGGAAGCCCCACTCACTGGTTATTTAAACGGAGGTACTCAGGAAAGGCTTCAATGAGTAAGAGACGTTTGATCAAAGATCTGAATAAGGTGTGAGGGTACCTTGTATGTATGTATTTCTGAGGGAATAACAGTTTATGCAGACCAGACAGCAAGTACAAAAGCCGTGAGATAGGAGTGTGCCAGACTTGCTAGAGAAACAGCAAGGAGGCCAATGTGGCTAGGGCAGAGTGAGCCAGGAAGAGAAAAGTAGATTAGGTTAGAGAGAAGTGGGGAGTGACAATGCTGATGCCAGGTAAGTGCTGATACTCAGTTAAACTCTGAGGAATGGGATAGATTTAGCTAAGAACCCATCGCCTGGATTGGGAGCTTGGTTAGCAGAGAAGTGGCTTTATTGACTCATTGTGCATCTGTTCTGACCAGAAGGGTTGAATAATGAAGGAAATGAATCTATCATATTTGTAATTTAATTTGTCCATGTGTGTTCAGAGTGTTATGTGTGTGCACTGACATCAGGGTACACGCATGACACTCTGAACAGGGAGGAGAAAGTGGCAACAAATGAGTTTGGAGGGGTAGATTATGTGTGCCTTGTTAATTATTTTGGACTTTATCAGCCTAAGAGCTTTAGGAAGGCACTGAAGGGATTTACCAAGGAATGTTCAGTTTTGTATTGGGGCAGGAGGAGGGGGATGTTGTTGCTGGGGTGAAGTGGATTGCTGGGGCAAGAGTGGTTAGAGAGGGCTTCCCTGGTGGCGCAGTGGTTAAGAATCCGCCTGCCAATGCAGGGGACATGGGTTCGAGCCCTGGTCCGGGAAGATCCCACATGCCGCGGGGCAACTAACCCCGTGCGCCACAACTATCGAGCCTGCGCTCTAGAGCCCGTAAGCCACAACTACTGAAGTCCGTGTGCCTAGAGCCTGAGCTCCGCAAGAAGAGAAGCCACTGCAATGAGAAGCCCGCGCACCACAACGAAGAGTGGCCCCCACTCACCACAACTAGATAAAGCCCACGTGCAGCAACAAAGACCCAACACAGCCAAAAAACAGAGTGGTCAGAGAGACATCAGTTAGAGGCTATTGTAGTCATCCAAGAAAGAGATGATTATGGTCTGTGGCCTAAAGATATGGAGTTATGATGGGCGAAAAATGGATAGGGTCAAGAAATAATTAGGAGATAGAGAATATTCAGGACATGGTGTGTTTGGAATGAGGGAGGCAGGGTGGAAAAGGTTCTAAAGGTTTCTCGCTTTTGTGCCACAAGGAAGATAGTGGTATCATTCAGCAAAATAGTGAAGATTAGAAGAGGACCAGTTTACGGTGGGTAGAAATGATTTAATTTTGGACATGTTGTGCATGAAGTACTTTTGAGCCTTTCAAGTGAGTAGTCTGGTGGGCAGTTATGTGCATGATTTGGAACATCTCGATAATTCTCTTTTGGACATGGTTGTTAAACTTCCAGTGTGGAAAGCTGTCAAAAACCTTCCGAGTATTAACATATTTATTACCATGTAAAGTTACATCTCTAACAAAGCCTGCAAAGGAACGGTACTTACTGCTAAGAGACTTTACAATAGCGGATATGACTGAACTGGGGAGATTAGGGAAGGAAAGACCTTCCTGAAGAAGAAATGCTTGAACTGTGGTAGTAAGGATGAGTAGGAATTCATCAGGTGAAGAGGGGGAGGAAAGAACATTATAGACAAAAGGAGTAACCTGGGTAAAGACCCTATTGCCGGAGTGGAGGGAAAGAAAGAAGAGCAATGGGTGAGACTTAAGCTGATGGTGAAAAAATAGGTAAGGCCACACCATGCTGGGTCTTATATGTATGCTGAAGTAATGTAAAGTTTTGAGCAAGTGGGCATGGGAGGAGGACACAGTGAAATTTACGTTTAGAAATGATCACTGCAAGGTGGAAAAAGGAATGGAGAGAAAAAGCGTGGGGTCATGGAGACCAAATAAGAGGCTGTCTGGGCTTCCCTGGTGGTGCAGTGGTTAAGAATCCACCTGCCAATGCAAGGGACACGGGTTTGAGCCCTGGTCCGGGAAGATCCCACATGCCGCGGAGCAACTAAGCCTGTGCACCACAACTACTGAGCCTGTGCTCTAGAGCCCATGAGCCACAACTGCTGAGCCCGTGTGCCACAACTACTGAAGCCCACGTGCTCTAGCGCCCGTGCTCCACAACAAGAGAAGCCACCGCAATGAGAAGCCTGCGCACCGCAATGAAGAGTAGCCCCCGCTCGCCGCACCTAGAGAAAGCCCACGTGCAGCAATGAACAGGCAGTGCAGCCAAAAATAAATAAAATAAATAAATTTTTTAAAAAAAGAGGCTGTTGTAGCAGTCTAGGCAACTTGTACTGGGCTGCTATTGGTGGACATAGGGAAAAATAGATGGATTTGAGAGGTATTTAGCTGGTAAAATCCACATAGCTTGATTTCTTGGAATACGAGAGGGATAGAGAACTATCAGGTGACTCTTAGGATTCTGACTTACACAATACCATTTAGATGAATGTGCATTATGAAAAAAATGGAAAATGCAGAATGATATAAAGAAGAAAATAAAAATCACCTACCATCCAGAGATACACACTAAAATATTTTTTAAATTACCAACTGCTTAGAGATTTACTCAACCACTGCAATGGGATTTTTCCGGTTTTTATTTCTTGCTATAAATGTGTTCACTTTTTTCCTCTGTGTATTCTTGAGGAAAACAAAATTGCTATGTTTGTTTTCATTTGGTTTTAGCTACCTGGAAATGACAAGACTGAAATTTATAAAAGAAGTTGGAATAGAGGATTTTTTTGGTAGAGTTTGAAATCAGGAAGTTAAAAAAAAAAGATGTTTTTTGAAACTTTAGTGACTTTATGGTGCACTACCAAAGAGTCAATCCATGCAAGACCACTGTAAAAGCTAACCTCTGACTCCAATATTCTTGGCTGTAGATTATGTTGCCTTCTGTCACTTTGATGCATTTAAAGGAATAGTTTCCAATTTTCTTCCCTTGGTTTAAAAGAAAAAGATTCATCATATGTTGCATACATTTTTAAAAATTGTGGTAAAATACATATAACATTTAAAATTTTAACCATTTTTAAGTATACCATTCGGTGGCTTTAGGTATATTCACAGTGTTGTGCAACCATCACTACTGTCCATTTCCAGAAGTTTTTCATCATCCTAAACAGAAGCCATGTACCATTAAACAGTAATTCACCATTCTACCCTCCTCCCAACCTCTACTAACTTCTTGTTTACTCTCTGTCTGTATGAATTTGCCTATTGTTGGCACTTCGTATAAGTGGAATAATATAGTATTTGTGCTTTAGTGTGTGGCTTATTTCCCTTAGCATAATGTTTTTAAGGTTCATACATGTTGTAGCATGTGTCAGAATTTCATCCCTTTTTAGGGCTGAATGATATTCCATTGTATATATATCCCACATTTTGTTTATTTATCTGCTTGTGGACACTTGGGGTTGCTTCTGCCTTTTGACTATTGTGAATAATGCTGCTGTGAACATTGTAAGTATCTGTTTGAATCTCTGCTTTCAGTTCTTTTGGATCTATACCTAGGAGTGGAATTGCTGGGTCATATGGTAATGTTTAACTTTTTAAAGAGCCACCAAACTTTTCCACAGCAGTCATACCATCTTCATTCCCACCTGCAATGCCTGAGGGCTCCAGTTTCTTTACATACTTGCCAATACTTGTTATTTTCTTTCTTTCTTTCTTTTTTTCTTTCTTTCTTTCTTTCCTTTCTTTCCTTTCTTTCCTTTCTTTCTTTCTTTCTTTTATAATAGCCATCCTAATGGGTATGAAGTAATATCTTATTGTGGTTTTGACTTGCATTTCCGTAATGACTGATGTTGAGCATCTTTTCATGTGCTTATTTGTTGTTGCATATTTTCAAAATATAACTTCTTTTTTCTCACTTGGTTGGCAAAGATGTATTGGCTGTAGCTGTTGACTTGGCAACCACAGCTTTTCCTGTTGACTTTTTTTAACTAAATATGCGATCCCCCCCCCACCCTTTTTTTCTTTTTAAAGATGGCTCTGAGTAAATCAATGCATGCAAGAAATAGATACAAGGACAAACCTCCTGACTTTGCATATCTGGCTTCCAAATATCCAGATTTTCAGCAGCATGTTCAGATAAATCTGAATGGAAGAGTGAGGTAGGTAACAGATGAAGAATTCTTGATACAGTATTATTCTAGTGTAATTTGAATGGACACAGCATAGTGGAAAGCGTACTGGACTGATAGTAGACCTGAATACTAATTCTAGACATTTCCTTAAACTTCTCATCTGACCTTGGACAAATCACTTAACCTCTCTCGGTTTTAGCATTTTAACGTATAAAATCAGAAGATTGGACCAAATGCTTTTAAGTTTCCTTCTGGCTAAAAAAACCAAAAACCAAAATAAAATTTCTTGATGTCCAAATTATTGCTTACCCAACAGAGATCCCAGAGTGCCTGCAGAAACCTTAGGATTGTACTCTAAAACTTGGTGACTGGTGAGGGTCTAAAGTCCTTATTTTAAGGTGTGTTTATTTTGATGTGAGGTAGGAAAATAATAACCAGGATATCAAAACTGATTTCACTTCATTATTACATAGAATGTCACTAAATTTAAGTTTAAAAGTTAATTATTAAAAATTAAGAAAATAATAGTATGACGCTTCAGGAAATGGCAAGGATTATGATAGTGGTATGGTAGGAACTGATGTTTGTGTTATACCCTTGAGAAGGAGATCTTTGACTGCCATCCTAAACTCTATGTGAGTTACAGAGGGGATTGGAAATTTCAAGCCTGCCTTGGGAAAATGTGGTGCTTCACCTGTGGGAAGGAGGAAGAGCAGGATTTGTGGAGCACTGGGAAGGTTGGGAATAATAGGATCAGAGGGCTTGAGGCATTTTGCTGACCTCATCCTTCCTCCTGGCAGACTTGTAGAACTGGAGGCCCTAGGCCAGGACTTAACCTGGGGGCCAAGTTACTCTAGAAATCCTAAAACTTAAAAAATATATATATAATACATATTTATTTACATTCATTTTTCTGGGAGATAATCCTTGGTTTTCACCAGATTCTCAGAGAGATTTGTGACCCCCACCAATACACAAAGGTTAAGTCAAATGCCCTAGAACTGTGATTTCCAAGCTTTATTGTCTATTCCACTCAGTAAAAAGTTGAGCACAGCTCCATATATGAATGCTTGTGTTACTTACCATGTTACTATATTAAACACATTAGAAAACATACTTCAAACTGGAAATTAAAAATATATTTAAATAAGAGTTCTAATATTTTCTTTGCATACTCTAAAGGTTCATCTTTGGCACCTTACTTTGGAGATCACCCCAGAGATACAGAATTGGTGTTTCTCTTTGTTTAGATCATCTCTACCATTTTTCTTAAATCTTTGTTTCATAGTTATGTATGTGGATGTTATTTATCCTAGTAACTTTAGAGCAGATACAGTTTTGTTATTCTTTGTTTCCTCTCTACACTTATTTTTGTACTTAATTATTTAACAAATATCTGTTGATTAACCATTTTGCTCTAAGTTCCGGGAGAGCCATAATAAACAAGCAAGACTTAGTCACTGCCATATTTGGAGTAAACGCACTAGTGGAGGAAATGGACAAACAAACAAGCAGTTAGCCTTTCAGTGTGGCAGAACCTGTGGAGTATACAGTGGAATCACACAGAAGGGAGACCTGACCCCAGCTTTGGGATTTAGAGAATGATTTGAAACAGATACAGTGTCTTAGTTGTGTTCTGAAGAATGAGTCTGAGTTAGCCAGGTAGAAAGAAGAGTGTTACAGGCAGAGGGAGTAGCGTGTGCAAAGAGCACGGAGTAGTGGGGGACTGGAAAAGTTGAGCATGCCTAGGGTGTGGTGGACAAATGACAGAAGATGAGGCTGGGAGGATGATGCTTGCAGTACTTTATAAGGGCCAGTGAGGAGTTTGGAATTTATCTTAGGGACATGTACAGAGAGTTCTTGTGTCTTCAGAATTACTCATCCCGGGCTTCCCTGGTGGCACAGTGGTTGAGAGTTTGCCTGCCGATGCAGGGGACACGGGTTTGTGCCCCGGTCCGGGAAGATCCCACATGCCCCGGAGCAGCTAGGCTGTGAGCCATGGCCACTGAGCATGCGCGTCCGGAGCCTGTGCTCCGCAACGGGAGAGGCCACAACAGTGAGAGGCCCGCGTACCGCAAAAAAAAAAAGAATTACTCATCCCCAGTTTTATGCACTAAAGTTTTAAAGCAGGGAAATAACATTCAGAATTGTGTTTAGACAGGTGACAGGTGTATTCTAGGAGCATAGTAGAAGATGGATTGCAGGGGGAATTAAGACTGAAAGTATAGGCAAGTAAGTGGGAAATGGTTTTAGTAATCTACATTAGACATATTGGTGGCCTAACTAGGTAGAGGGGGGAAGGACAGAGATCACTGGATGAATTTGAGAGAAATTCATGAATATAATTAGCAGGACACAGTAGAAATTAAGTATGAACCAAGTATGGTGCTTGGTATTCCAACTTAGCAAGAGATTAGGTGGTAGTGCCATTTCTGCAGTAAGGAACAAGGGGGAATGAGCTGGTTGGGGGAGAGATGATATATTTTCAGTTTGGGGCATATTGAATCTGAGAAGTCTATGTGCAGTTGAAAATGGAAGTCAGAAGAGAAGGACACAGCAGTGGTGTGGGAGTGGTATTAGTGAAGGCCTTGGGTCTTTGAATACTGAAAGATGAATAGAAGGGGGGAAAGAGTTCCAAGTATAGAGAACAGAATTTTTTGAAAGGCCTGGTAAGTTTGCAGAACTGCATGTAGATGGGGATGAAGTGGGTATAGAATAACAGCTTAGGGAATACTAGGAGATGAGACTGAAAGGAAAACAAAGAACAGGTCACAAAGAGCCTTTCATAGCTCTTAGCTCATGCAAAGTAGAATGGACTTGATTGCTCAGACTTTGAGGAACCAGAGGAAGATTTTTAGGATGGTTAGGATTTTTAAGATGGCTTAAGATTTATATATTTTAAGAAAAATCAGTCAGAGCAGACCAAACAGATCTGTTATTAAAACATATCTGAATGGCTTAAGGGTGTCTGACAAGTAATAGACATTCAATAAATATTTGTTAAATGCATGAGAATAATTCTTCTATAAAATCTAACTGTATGCCATTTACAGATGGCATACCTAAAACAAAATTGCAGATAAATAAAAAATAAAGGGATGGGCAAAAATATACTAAACAAATGAGAGTTCCCTCCAAATTAAAAAAAAGTAAGATAGAAGGTAGAAAAAACCTCAAATTAGAAAAAGAAGACTAGTTTGTATTGACAAAAGAAATAACGTTCAATGAAGACTTAAATAAAGACTTTTAGCATGTTGAAAAATGTAACATAAGAAATGGCTTTTAAAAAGTGTTTGATATAATTCAGAGACATTTTTTCTTTGTCTTTCCAACCAAGTAGAGAAAAATAAACAGAACAATGGCCTCAGGGACTTTCAGAGGATCAATGAATGCTTCAAAGACAATTAGGTAAAAATACTCTTTGTGTATGTTCTTTTTCTTGGGGAGATAGGGTTTAAAGCTTTAACCTATAATTTGAACTTCAGTTTTAAGAGTAGTTGACCCAAAAAAGGTTAAGTACTGCTGATAGAGAGCCTAAATAATATAATCAATGAATTTGATTTAGTGATATGTTTTGAACTTTTAATCTATAAATGCACATTCTTTTTTTTTTAATTGATACTGCATTATTTTATTATTTCCTTTATTTTTTGGCTGCTACGCAGCACGTGGGATCTTGGTTTCGCAACTAGGGATCAAATTTGCGCCCCCTGCGTTTGAAGCACAGAGTCTTAACCACTGGACCTCCAGGGAAGTCCCACACATTCTTTTTAAATAGCTTGCACAGGCTTATAACGCTAAGAAGTGACTGAGTTGGAACTCTCTGGCTCAGTCTGTTGCTTCCCTTATTTATTTAGAGTTAAGATTAGAAGGAAAAAGAATTACAATTTTACAGATGGCTTGATTATTGTCTACCTGAAAAAACATTTGAGAATTACCTAAAAATATTCAGATGATTGCTGAATAAAACATACATATAAATATTTTAAAATGTATATAAATAAATAGAAAATTGATAGGTTTCCAGATATTAGTTGGAAAATATAGTTGCAATAAAAGATCCCATCCACAATAACAAAGAGGAATAGGCAGAAACTTGGCAAAGAAATATGTTAAGATCTATGTGGGTAAAGCAATAGAATTACCCTCAGGGGTCTAGGGGAGACAGTGAATCTAGAGACACCGTGTGTTTCTGGATGGGGAGGCTCAGTATAGTTAATATGTCGATTCTTCCCCAAATCAAAATCCTTCTAAGGTTTTTGGGAGAGAAACCGACATAATGTTTCTTCTGTTCAAAGAAAAGGTACTCAAAACAAATGTTATAAGTGGGTGATGGCAAGGTGAAGGGGTGTAAACTTTCCCAGATGGGTATTTAAATATATTGTGAAGTTCGAGTAATTAAAACATTAGCCCAGTAGTGCCACAAGAATGGGCCATCAGTTGTCTGGCACAAAGTGGCATTCAAGTCTCAACAGCATGTGCACATTAAATAGGGTGATTCCAGCCTGCTTTCTACTCAGTAGTATACCTCCCAGAGGGAGTATAGAGTGGGAGTGTAGAGTGGACAGGGTGAATCTTCCTTTCTTGATCAGTCTTGACTCCTGTGTGTTTCTCATAATGTGAATATCTTACAGTGCTATGAATGATTAAAGAGCTTTTTCAGTGTTCTCTTGGATTTTCACTTTATATGCTTACTTTGGAAGCTGACTCCTAAGTAAGATACCACCCCACCATGTAAAGACTGTAACATAGAATAAGGACATTTCAGGTTGTTAAGGGTGGAGGCAGACACCAATGGATTTTTAATAGATGCATTGGAACAGCTGTGGGGAAAGTGCATTAGATTCCCTTTCCTATATATTATGCAAAATAAATTCCTGATGGTTTGATGATTTCAATATATTTATTCTATTGAAGTACTAGAAAAAAATATATAGGTGAACTGTTTAACTTTCGGTGTAGGGATGGTCTTTCTGAGTAAACTCCAAGGGTAGAATTCATAAAGGAAATTTTATGGATTCAACTAC